GCCATTGCTTACGGAGATGGCGGATAAAATAATTTCCGCCTCATTCTGATTAGTTGCTAAGCTGAAGGGCGCATTTACGAAATTGAGTAGCGTTTAATTGCAGCCCGCAACATTGGATATTGGTCGAGATGTAGATGTCCAATTTATTTATCTGTCTATGAAAAAAGACTTAATCCATTGCTATAGAAGGATTTTAACTCTTACTGATTGAAGCCTGTAGATTGGGAGGTTATGAGGTACCTTATCAAAAGCTTTCTTAATATCAAAATGCAGTATAACCACCAGTATCTTTTGGCCACGTATGCGAGTAACATCGCTAAAGAAGTCCATCAGTCATATACTGCATGACCTTGTTCTAATGAAGATGTGTTGTGACGAGTCTATTAGATCTTCCATATGTAGGTGATCAGATGTTTTTTACCCTTTTCATGGTATAAACGCGTGTTTTTAGTCATTTTCACATTTCGTCTGTTTTTTGACTTGTCCTCGTTTGAAAAACCCTAAAAATATGATTGGATAGCTTTTTCTTCAAAATTTTAAAAAAAGGAGTTTCTGACAAAACATCCCTGGGGGTTAAGCGGGGGTATTATTAAATAAATTATGTAAAATATTTTTTTACCTTTTTTATTGGGACAAAAATTCCCCTTTTGGGAAAAACCCTAGTCAAGAATTTTGTAATACCACCACCTCTGTATGGTTGTGTTCTTTTTGTTTTTAGAACACTTTTGGGTTTGAGGAGTGGGCGATTCTCTTTGTTGTTTTTTGTTTTACCCCCTCCTAACAAAATATTTGGGGGCGTCTTTTATATATAACTCTTTTTGTTTCGGCGTGCTTTTTTTGAGACCAAATTTACAGGGAATATTAGTGTCTAGTGCAGATTTGGTGGTGGTATTCAATATTTACAATGTTTCTAACAGGTTATCACAGATAAAGAAACTGCTCCAGTCAGAATGCTTTATTAGAAATCTGAAGTTTTCCCAGTCAGCGTGTGCGAAATCTCTATTTTCAAAAGGCGTATTTATTGTCTTGGACTTGTTGCACTTGTCAAGAATCGGAAGGATGCAGAGAACTATTTTCTGATCGCTGTTGTGAAACGTTTTGCCAACTACCACCGATGCTGATGTGACATTGTGAGAGAATATCAATTCAATAATGTTGTGATTTCGTGTAGGCAGGTGTACATCATGCTACCAACAGTGATGTCTCAGGACCTAGGTATGTTTACAAAGCACAATGGGCCAGAATGTGTCTTCCAGTTGATTATGAGAAATCACCACAAATAATTTTGTAAGCAAAATCAAGTGAGGCAGCCTTAACAAATGACACACTGATAATAGTGTCAGTTGAACTAGGAGTATTAGGAGCTCGATTTATGCATCCGATTAGTATTATACATTCATGGGTATGTACAGTAAGCCATATCAAATCAGGTAGTTTGCTAAGGATGTCATCGCAATGGATTTCCGCTCTCATATTTTTCGATTCATGCACAAGACAACCACAACCCGTCTTGTTGACTCGATCACAACAGCGGAGCTCATAGGTGTCTATTTGGAGGTATGATTCAGTGACATAGGAAGACAAACAACTTCCCGTTATCAAAACAAGTGAAGAGTTGTTTCAAAGTAACAGGGTGCGTATATGAATCATCTTATTTCGTACAGACTGAGCATTGATTGACCTTAGTGTCACGTACGATGAGTAAACCCAGTGAATTGTTTGGTTTATCATGAGAAGAGGAAGAAGTGGGAGTTTTGGCTCCATATTTATGTTCGTTTATTTTATTACTAATATGGCTAATTGAGGAAAGGTGGTCAGAGGGTAGTTTGTTTTTAGGACCAGTAGCAAAATGCGACGTGCTTCCGTGTTTAGGAGGGGTAGAGAATGGTGTTTTAGAATTTGTGCAGTAGCCAACGTTGTAACTGCCTCTATTACATAAACTAGGTTGATAACTTTATAGTTTTTTGAAGATTCGATGCTGGTTAGCAGCCCTGTCATGGGCAATTCTAATCTTTTAAATTTTGGAATTGGCCTCAGCAATGGCCTACTATTTAGAAGGCGATTGGTTTCTGTGATACTACCAAACTGAAATAGAATGGGACAAGAGGCTTCAGTCTCTGCTTTACGTAATCTTCTTGTAACAGACTAAGAATGTGACAACCCACATTCTTGAAGTAAAGTAGTTTTGGCAAAATTTACGTTCGCACTATCAGGTGTATTATACACAGTAACATTCTTCATACACTGTAGTCTTTTCAACACTTCAGACGATATATGGTCAATTACTTCCTCTGTGTTTTTTATAATTCCGGGACCAAGATTTCCTGAAACACTGATCAAATATTTGTACGGTAATAAGTCCTAAATATTTTGGGTGAGGCCAAGTTGTATTTCACTGCTCTTAGAACTACAACTGGTGAGATTATTAGAGTTTATATCAAAATTGTCAGGGTGGTCACCTTGTTCATACCTAGTTGACGAATGGAGTATATGTCTGGGTGAGTAGTCGAGATCTACGTCGCTGGGTTGTTTGTGATAGACAGACGTACTTGCAATCTGTGAGGCGCTATAGAGTGTCCGGTCGTGGGTTTGTTGAATGGTTGGGTACAGCCACACTTTCTAAAAACTGCTCACAGCAAGTGACACTTTTGAGTGGACTGCACGATGTCGATTCGAAAGAATTGTGGTTGATTGTAAATCTATAAGCGAGACTCAGTGTAGGGAGTCGTCATGCCCAAGTAAATAGTGCGTGTCTAGTGTAGCTGTAGAAAGATCAGAGTACGATGGGGACTGATCAGTGTGTTTATATAGCTTCCCGCCACTCTCTTAAGCGACAGATCTGGACTTTTCGAAGTATCTATAGACATCAGGAGAGACGATATATGTATCTAGATGTCCTGAATGTGATTTGAAGGAATGTATATACAATTAAAGACTAATAATAATAATAATGATTTGTTCTCAAATAACAGTCTGTTACTTGAGGCATGTCAGTCTTCCAGAGAAGATCAAATTGTTACAAAAGTTACAATCTTCACTGTGGTAGGTTACTTAATTATTTTGATACTTCACAAGACGCCGCTAACCTTTTGGCTGAACAATACTCTTGGACATTGCAACCGATCCACTTCAAGTATACTGATGACAGCTTCATTTGCAACTGCATATGACTTTCCGTAGTGAACCTGAGCGTTGACTTGGTGTTCGGGAAACTGAAGCACCTAAGAAAAGACATTTCTCCTGGCCTAGATATGGTCCATTCTGCTGTACTGAGGGAAGCAGCCTCAATCCTGGCAACGCCGCTTAGCGTGATGTTCTCACACTCGCTAAGCCGAGGCAAACTACCGGAAAATTGGAAGCTGGCTCAGATCACACCAATTTTCAAAGGTCGACGCAGCGAACCTTCAAGCTACCGACCAGTGGCTCTTCTCTCTATACCTTCAAAAATCATGGAGTCCCTGATATGCGATGGTATACACGACGATTTATTATCCCTAAACTTCTTTTCAGCCTAACAGTATGGTTTCAGCAAGGGTTACTCTTGTGTAACTAACCTGCTGGCTGCGGTGGACAGATGGGCAAGCATCCTGGATTACAAGGGGAAGGTTGATCTCAGTTACCTTGATTTCTCAAGAGCCTTTGATAGGGTTAACCATATATGTCTTATCAATAAGCTCATACCACCTCTAATTGATTGGCTCATTTCATACCTGAAAAATCGACATTTTTAGGCCAGGGTTAACTTCACTTTGTCTCAGGCTATGGAATGTTCTGGTGGGGTCCCCCAGGGTTCAGTACTAGAACCTCTTCTCTTCTTGATTTATATAAATGATATTCCTCAACAGGTATCGCCAGACTTACCACTTTTTGCTGATGACATGAAACTTTGGAGAGAGATACGCAACCAAGACGATATACAGACACTTGAGGAGAATCGGACTCGACTTCAAAGTTGGGCAGACGACAACAGACTTACCTCTAACACTTCAAGGTGTAAAGTAGTTCATCTGCGACATACCGCAGACTACAGTTACAACTTAAGAAACTCCACTCTAGTAGCATCATGAGTCGAAAAAGATTTAGGAGTCCTACGATTTGAAGTCTTACGCTAACTGTGACAAAAATGCCTCTCGAGCAGACCTTGCACTGGTAACGTTAAAGCGCATTTTGGCCAGTTTGACGGAAGAACTTACCAACTTTTAAACAGTTTTATCCGTCCCCATTTAGAGAATGGAAACAGTATTTCCTCCCTCACTTCAAAACGGCAAGGACACTCTGGAGTGTATCTAACCGCGAGCCATGAAATCAGTTCAAGAACTCAAATTTAAACCTTATGAAGAGCGCTTCCAATCACTTAACGTTTGCCCATTAGAGTATAGGCGTCTTGAAGGTGACCTTCTGATGGCTTAAAGTATCCTTAACACTTCAGGAAATCTTTTTAAATACCTACTTAAGCTTAGTCTCAATACCAACCTAAGGGGTAACACCCAGAAATCGGAGACACGACATAACAGAACGGGCTGTAGACACAACTTCTACTCCTTAAGAGTTGTCAAATGCTGGAATTCGCTGCCGGCCGAGCTAGTCCAAGCGACTTCCCAGGAGTCCTTTATGAGGCAACTTGATCTATTCTTAAAGTCTAAGGATAGTATCATACTATGATTTACCAATTTCTTTTTCTGCTTTTATCGTTAACATACCTAGGTTCCTGCCTGGAGTTATTCTTTATCCCCTGCTACTAGACACGGAGTCCTGTTAAGTGAAAGCTTTTTCTATTCCGTCCACAACAACTTGAACCATTTGAACCTATTGAGGATTACTAAAGACCTGAAACCGTACCAAGACAATAAGGGAAAAACCTAAAAATTCGTTCAATCCATAAAGCTCGTGACAATGATATTGGATATATATTGTATATGGATTCTTCTAATGGCCCTTCCATATGCATTTGTAATAACCTGACGACCCCGGTCTGTTTAAACTACAAGGTTGCTTGAGTTATGTTAGGCACTTCTAAAGATAGTCAAGCCGAGGCTTCCCTTGAATCACGCCTTAACAAGCTCGATGAAGTTGAGAGAAAGATAAGCCTAATTATTCAGCACGCTGGTAGTGCTCTCGAAGAACTTTCAAGAGATAAACCAACGGTAAAACAAGTCGAAAGTTGCACACATAACTTCCGAACAGTTGTTAAGGAAGTAGAGACGGAAATGAATTCACACATCAACTACCTATCACATATTTCCGCGGGATTACCATATGAAGGATGCACTTATGATAAAGCAATTGACCTCTATCAGACTCTTGACCGACTAGTTGCTGCCAAACGTCGTTTAGATTCCTGTTTGTAAAAGTCTTTAATAAAATGTTATCACAAATGATTTCACTTTTTACACTGTTCTTATGTTCATGATCAGATTTCTTCCTGTTTTTAAACGATTTATAGGTTGGATAAAATGGAGTCAGACCCAGCAGTGACGAGTACTGTTTGCGAAGGTCTGTTACACCCAGAGAACAAACGGAACGTTCCTACTGATAGTCATAATACAGTTAGAAAGTCTAATATCATTTCAGACGACGGCCTTACCACCCAAAAGGCACCGTGGAGTGCTTTAAATGATGCAGAGACGGCGTCTAGTGTAGGCGAGTCGTCAAGGCGGAACAGCAAATACGATGATAATATGCCTGTTCATTCCGCCTGTTCCGAGTTCGAAATCCCGGAGATGGAGTTTGATGAATTTGAGTTGGAACTAGCTGCTGAAAAAGGTATGTTTAGGTTTTTTAAACTTGTTCGTCATATTCCTGGAGGCTTTCGAATTCAAGTGGTTTTTTAGATTTTTTATGATTACTGATTCTGTCACCTATTTTTGGTTTTGTTCTGTACCTCCACTTCCCAGTTTTTCTGTTGGTCGTGAACCACATAGTTAAGTGCTAGTCAAACTATTGGGGAAAGATGCGCCATCACGCTTCGGTTTGCGCGCCTGGGCAGTATTACAGCCCTCACACCAACCGAATCATGTGTGGCGTATATATTTGGCACCTTGTATCAGTGTTTATGCGTTTAAATAAGCGTTCGCTTTCAGACTAGGTAACCGTGATGGTATCTGAAACTGGCTATCACTAACTATATGGCTTTATCGTACTAAATGGATGTTTGGTAAGAAGGTCGAAATCTGTTTTTCCAACTGTGGGCAAGGATTAGGGCCCCTAAACACTCCAAAACAGTGGAAATAGAATCATTTGGACTGGTAGGTTTTCACCAGGAGTCTTTAGAATGATCATCCGGGGTTATAATTTATTGCTATACTTCATTTTATTTATTTGAACACAAATATTGGTACAAAGGGGCACCGAAAACATATGCGCCACATAAATTATTCGATTTGTGTGAGGTCTGGAATACTGCACAGTTGCCCAAACAGAAGCAGGTGGTTTTCTTAGGAGGCCATACCCGAAGCCTTCCACCTAAAGATCTAATCCACAAGGCAGTGGAGCAACGTCAGCAGATGCAGTCACATGGTAGCCGGTGACCAATGATTGGTTCGTACACCACTTGTTCCCTCAGGATTCTGGAGCTCATGTGCACCATTGGTTTGGAATCGGGGTTTTCCAACTACCCTAAGTGGACCCTCCTTATCCACCAAACCCGGGTAAAGCTCCGGACATTCGGTTTTCATCCTCTCAATTTGGTAAACAACACCCCCACCACGGGAAGGCAGTGAGTAGGACTTCCCTGGCTGGTTGTATGCACGTGGCCACTTGAGAGCATTTCGAGATGGAGAGCTGACGCTCTACACTCTCGGCCTCACTAGGGCATTTTAATACTAACTACGACCTCGAATGTAGCGTAATTCTGTCTGAGTGCTCTCGTTTTCTGGCCTCATCAGTCTATAAAGGAGGATAGAATTCCTCTTTTGATAACCACGGTGAAGTCAGTTTGTTGACTATAATCTCCAGAATGTTGGCTTTCGTCATCGTTCAAATACTTAAATACCATTTTGCGTCTAGTTAAAGCTTCAGAACACATCTCACGCACCTCATTTGATGATTCATAGTTCCAACTATTGACTTTCCATCTTTATTTATTACCTTAAGATATTCCTCACTCGTTTGTTCTGTTATGCGCGAGAAGTTAATGGTAGACATTTTAGACCAAATACAAATTTCCAACTTTTAATTAAATTTATACTACATGTAAACACCGCAATCGTAAAATATTATACAGATTATATGTTGGATCCAGCTGTCTACCAAATTGGTCCATTATATTTTTATTATCAGAAGGGGTTTTGTGTGTGTATACTTTTATGAAACAAAAAAGGAAAACTAGGCTATTCGTGACTAGCTGGTTAAAATTGCTTTTATCTTATGATAAAGTCCATCACAAAAACACATGTTAGAAGAAAATTAAGTGTACATAGCGCACCCCAACCATTTTAATAAGTAGGAAAGGATAGTTTAACAGAATGCTTCATTATTGTAAGATGAAGTAACCTTTAGAAGAGGTCTGTGCAACTTATGTGGCCTTCTGTGGATACTTTAGACAATAATAATATACAAACCGTTGTTTTGCTTTCATATTGAACAGATTGTGCCGAAGAGTAAAAATAGAGACTGTTGACAGACGGATAGAGTATCGTTCGAATCTTGAATAACTGGTCATTTTACCTTGTAATTGTGGTTCAACACTAAAGATGCTTATTTATTTATTTATTTATTTGAACACATGAATATTGGTACAAGAGAGCGCCAATATATATGCGCCACACAAAACAATGAGAATTCGAAGAGAAGTAGAAAAAAAAACTAAGGAGCGCAAAAGAAAAAGAGAACAATGACGAAGAGGTTGGAGTAAGGTAGTGTGGTAGTAACGACGGAACGAAAACGTACAATCAGAAGAAATCTTTCAGGTAAAGGAGACACACCACTTTTTATGGAGAAAGTAAAAGAAGGTTACAGCAGGATCGCCACTGGCTTCTATTCTGAGCCATATCTGATAACGTCTCTAGCCACTGTGTAGCACCATCTCTCAGACCCCAACCAGGGAGTCGTGAAGGACCAACAGAAGCCAGCCCTTTGCAGCTTTCTTTCATACCACGACACCATGTCATGCACTGACCACCTCTCCGCTTCTTCCAACCAGTCCCAGAGTCGGCAAATAATGCACGACGTGGAATTCTCTGGGACGACATTCGGAGAACATGTCCAAGCCACCGAAGTCGGTGTTTCAAGATGGTGACACCAATTGAATTATCATCTCTGTGCCCGAACACACGATGCCGAACCTCTGCATTACTGACATGGTGTTGCCACTGGATGTCAGCAATCCTTCGGAGACAGCGATGATCAAACACAGAGAGTCGTATAACATCCCCAACTCGGTAACTAGGTTTGACAAGCATAGAGCAAAACTGCTCTCACAGACACGTTGTTGATCCGATCTTTTGCAGCCAGACTAACATCACGACGGAAGAAAAAACATGGCCCAGATTGACATGAGCCGCTCTGGCTTTCACTCACGCCACCACCAGCACTTGTGCAGCTACCTAGATACACGAACTACTCGACTACTTCTATCCGCTCACCATACAGGGTGAGTACAGGATTGGAATCCTGCCAATCTTGTAGAAGTACTTTGCACTTCGAAGGTGCAAAGCACATATCATACCTACGGACACTGATTGCCAACTGATTAAGTGCGGATTGCATGCCTTGGGCATTATCGCACAGTAAGACAATATCATCCGCAACGCCAGCAAGACCAGACGAAGGTGCCACAGGGTCCCCGGATAAGCGCACGTGAAACAAGCTTTTCGAAGCGACAGATGGAGATCGAATTTGTAGTACTTCGCCAGAGTCTTGAATACGGGTCTCGGATAGACAACAAACATCAATATTAAGACTTTCCAAAGACATAGCCAGCCCTATCTGTTGTCTGAACTGCATAAATGTGCGAACGTTGAAGGCAGCCAGTTTGAATGGTGCACGTGGTTTCAGAAAAACTGCTTCAGTCCTCGTATTCGGTGGTAACATACAATTTTCAACCGGACAGTGACTCGAGAACGTTTAGATACAGTCGAATTTCCACCAAAGACGAGCCGCTGTATAAGTATAAAAGAGGGTGAATAATGTGGAAAATAATAATAATCATAATCATAATAATAATAACAATAATGACAATAATAGTAGTAATAATAATAGTATTAATAATGACAATAATTGTAATGATAATAATCTGAATCAATTGTTTGTTTTTCAAAGCGAGAAAGGTAATTTCCATAGGCATAAAGAGTTCATCAATTTGTGTGTGGGCTGTGATACTGCCCGGGTGCCCAAACCGAAGCAGGTGGTTATCTTAGGGGGCCACTCCCCGAGCCTTTGACCTAAAGGTCTAACCCACAAGGCAGTGGAGCATCGTAAGGAGATGCAGTCCCTTGGTAGCCGGTGACCAACGATTGGTTCATACGCCATTTGTTCCCGCAGGATACTGGAGCCCATGTGCACCATTGATTTGGAATCCGGTTAAAGCGCCGGACATTCGCTTTTCGTCCTCTCATTTTCGTAAACAACACCCCCGCCACAAGAAGGCAATGAGTAGGACTTCCCTGGCAGAGGCTGTATACGCGTGGCCGTGTGAGAGTATTTCGAGAGGGAGAGCGGACTCTCCCCACTCTCGGCCGTACCAGGGCATTCAGGGGGCACTAAAGATGCTACTGTAAGCTGTTTTAAACACCGCTACAGTTAACTTGTCTTAAGAAACTAGTTGCGTGCCACTGAACCTCAGCAATTTAGTTGGGTTTATTTGGTACATTATTACGTATGTTGTTACTATGTTATATATCGTGTAGAAAAATTCAAATTTACTTATTGTGGGTCGTTTTTGTAGAATGTTGTTATCTAACCTACAAACATGTGATTGTCTCTCCTCATAGGATTAGATTAATTCATAATCAATAGTAATCGTTTGACTATATAAAGACTGATCACATGTACTATCGGAAGCACAAATTCTTTCCTAAATAGCGTTTTTGTACACACATTCTTTCTCTATTTGATAGAGTTTTCGTCCGATGAACAGTTGTTTGAATCTGGTCGTATGACACCAGATGGGTTAATCGACGAAGACTTTGAACGTGAACTTGGATGCGCAGCTAAGGCAAGTAGTTCAGTTGTAGTTTTCACCCCTAGTAAATTTAGTTTTCTTCCATTTCCTCCCCATTCTTTCCACATATGTTCATCTATGGCTATCGTTAGTATATATTTAAATCAATTACTGACTCATTTTATGCTTATGAATATTCCGTACTGGCAGCGTCTTTTTTTACATATCTTCGTGACTGTTTCAAAGAGAAAGTGGGTTATCCGTTTCATTGCTTACTTGAGTTTCATACGATAGTTTCTTACCTATGAATACATTTTGTTGTGGTCCAGTAGCATAGAAAGGCAACTTTCAGTTATAGGGTAGTGAATTCCATCTATAAACCGCGTGTTTTGACTAAAATGAAATAACTCTACTGCCTGATTACAATTTTAATCCAGTTCCCATTGCTTGTTCTTAAACTCATGCCATTTATTGAGGCACTACTTTTCTCTACATTTTACGATTTTGTCCTTGGTTAGAATGTATCAAAAATTAATTTCACCTTGAGAATCATTCACTAACGTTTTTTGCTTATTAATTTTGGTTATGTATGGTTTCAACTCAATAGGAGTGATCTATTCATGTGTAGTATTAAATTGTATTTATTAACTAAAATGTATTCGACTTCCCTAAATTGAAAATAGTATTGTGATTAGCACAGCTTATATTTTGTTTTAGTTCGCATAACCATTGTGGTTTTATAAATATACGCAATATATTTTTACCTACTCATTGGTTTTTCGCCGTTACTTAACGTTGTGATCCATGGACTTGGGCACCACTTGATTTACATTTATTAATAAGTCATTTGGATTGTGCCTTATCTGCAATTCGGGCAATTATTCTGTTGTCATTAGTTTTCACACGGTATATTTCGGCCCATAGTTTAGTGAATCTGTGGCGTTCGACTTCTAAATATCAGACCAAGGGCTCGAGTCCTGCTTTACCTACTTCGATTCGGGAAACTGAGTAGTAGTGCGGTGTGTGTTATTTATGCGGACATATATTATAAATATGTATTGAGCATGGGAAGTAGAACTCTCACTGAAAAAGGAAGAAAACAATGAGGTGAGAAAAAAACTGAAAGCAATGAAAATAACAACAGGAGCGAACGAACGATGGAGTTTGTAAGAAACATTTCAAAGAAGATTTGTAAATGATGTGTTTTGATGTATATTTTTCTTATTTCACCAAGCCACTGCGATCTTGCATTAAGCAATAAATCGGTTATCACCACCTGAGTTCTCGTTCACTACACTAGTATCAATAGCCTCTACGCATGAAATGTGATTTAATGCCAAGTACGCGAGTTTGTATTTGGTGAGTCACATCATTAGTACACAGTTACATTATAAAGGAGCCTTAGCTATCATAGCTTTTAATATAAAAATGAATAATCTATATTTATACTGAATTATACTATTTAAACAATATTAATTTCAAGTAAATATTATTAACTTTTACTTTTAACTTGCATTAAAAGGATTGTAGGTTTAGTATGCAGGTGTTTTGTAGAGTTGTATGTTCATGTCGTCATGTAGCACGTAATATAAAAAGAAAAAAACTAGATATTTCTTCGTGAAAGAAAAAAGTCATGTGCGCAAATCAATGTTGTGAAGAGCAATGAGAATCTTAACAAAATCAATAGAAGTAGTCAACTTGATTGTTTTGTCCCAATTTTTTCACCTTGTTCTTACCATTGTGTCAGTATAAGTCAGACGGTTGAATTAAGCTACGTGGTTCAATATCGCTGCTGTTGTGTCACTAGTGAATTGTTTAAGTATTGTTAGTGTCGAATAAGGGCTTCTTGTCTTTGTTTAAAGTACTGGTAAATACAGTTTCATTGCTTTTTTACACAAACTAATGCATAAAGTAATTAAAAAAGCAGTAGAATATTCGAATATTGGTAAACACCACTTAAACCATTAACATCGATTTTTGCCATTTCTTCTATTGATCATTTTATTTTGTCTGCGTGTTTACCTTTACTGTCTGTTCATTTGTCGAAGTGAACTTCGGCATTGTTTATTTTTTCCCATGATATTTATTGTTGGTTTGTACATTGTTTTATCCTAAGTGTTTTCTAGTTAGTGATATGACGACTACTTAAAACCATTAAATCTACTTTGCTTTAAGCAATCGGTTAGTATGATTAGTCATCACACACACATTGTAACTCAAAACTGAGTACATAAACGGTAGGATTAATAAATGAGTTGCTTCAGAAGCACTGCGTTATGGTAATTTCATCTTTCAGATAAACTCCGTCTTCTCATTGCTCTATCGAAATTTCATCTGTACTGTGCCTTCATTGTCCATGACTTACAGACTATTTGGTAATGTTTCCGTCCATTCTAAATGTTATAACTCTGTTTCTTCTTACGGTTAATGACCCAGCTATTCCTATTGCTTAGTATTCTCGGACACCGATTCACTCGACAAGTCCCCAAATCAGAACACGGTTGAACAGGAAAAAGATTATATTCCAAATAGCAAGTCAGAAGCCAGTAGGAAGCACAATAGGGGAAAACGTCGGTATATTTATAGTTTTTACATAAGAAGATTCCAGAATATTCTCCGACTATCGATTAGTGCTGATTGGATAAGAATCAGCCAATCAACGTGCACCAAAACCATCATGCATTGAGCATGCTTTAATCTAGTCTATGTCCCGCTAACACCTCCCCTCTGAGCAGATTCGTAGGATCTGGTGCTAGGGTCCAACTGCAACCGAGTGACTGGCCTGTGCTTTCGATTAGTCTATCGTCTAGGCAATAAAGAAGTATCACTCTTTTCTTGCTCAGAAACTGATGTGTCTATTCCCGGCGTTTTGATTTCAAAGGTGTCTAGCAGAACATCAAGAGGTAATCGATATTGAATCTTGTTGCTGGCTATCGAGGTTGCTTTCAATTGGTTAGCATGACGTACCCAAACTTCCGAGCCAACTGACACCTCGTAAACCACACTCCCCTTCTTTTTCAAGATCCGACCAGCTGTCCATGTAGGATGTTTCCCACGATAGTCCATAGCAAGCACTTTTTGTCCCACCGTGAACAATCGTCTTTGTGCCCCATGATGTCGGTTAAACTGATTCTCCATCGATAGGTTTCGTTGGGGTTCAATAGCTGGCGTAGGACGGATGACATCGAAATGTGTACGTATCTTTCTTTTCAGTTTTCCTAGTAACCTATCACCTGTCTTCTTTGTAAGTACTGGGGTGTTCAATGATGAACGCGATACGTTACAGACACTGTTAATTGGTACATCCATTATTCTAAGTTTGTCTAACATATCTAGACCAAGAAGATCAAGGTTTGGCCGTTCTGTTAGGTAACATATTCCTGTACAGTTAGCTCCATTGAAGGAAAATTCACACTGTAATTCACCAACCAGTTTTAGCACACCACCTGATGCGTTTTTAGCCGTTTTCTTAGATGGTTTCATTGGCGGTTTACCCAGAAAGTTATACGTTTCTCTAGACACTAACGTGATATCTGATGCCGTGTCAATTTGAAGACGAGCTGATATGCCGTTTATCCGGATGGTAACATACTTTCTCTGAATGTCATGGTTTGTTTGAAAAGCAGCTATCAGAGAAAGAGATTTAGACTCGGTTGATTTCACATGTCGAGGACGTTTATGCTTCTTCTTAGGCTGAGACGTACGCTTCGGTGGACAATGACCTTCTTTATGTCCACGTTTGTTGCACTCCTGACATTTATGCTTCTTGAATGGACAGAATCGTGCATAATGCCAATCACCGCATAACTAGCATGCAGTCCTTGGTTTGTTACGAGTTGTTACCGGCTTCTGAACTTTTAACCTAGTAATAGTATTTACACTACCGCAGGTTAAATTAGGATTTACCTGTTCAATCAACTCGTTGTCGTGTCTGATGCTTTGTAGACGCTTACACTCATCTGTCAATGTTCTGAGTGTGACGTTTGGGTCTTGATCCAGTCGAGCTAAAAGTCTCGTCCTGATCTCAGCATCTTGTGGTGACTGAAGAGCTTTGATGAATATTAAGCATTTAAATTGGTCATCCGTCAACGAGCGTAACTTGAAACGTTCACATGCTCTGTTGACAATGTCTGCTAGAACACCATATTCATCAGCTTCGCGTTTCACCAAATTTAGACGCCGATATCGAATACTAAACAACGAGGATGACTCGCCGAATATCTCTGACAACTGAAATACCGTCTCCTCGAAACTGAGCTCTCGAGGTAACTTTGGCAATATATGGTCAGCAAAACGTGCATGTTCACTGCTTCCCAACTTACGTACCAACAATCGGGTCTTCCACGCATCGTCTTGGTTACAGAATTCTGTTCTAAATGTATCTTCCCAACGTTTGAACCACGTGAGAAAAGTATTTCCACTTTCGGGATCATAGATGAATTCTGGGATGCTGCTAGCGACTGCATCACAAGACGTACTTGAAATAGCATGTGAATTCGAGCAGTGGATGTTAAGCTGTTGAGTCAGAGTCTCCAACAACCGCATTTGTGCATCAAGTTGTGCTTGCTGTTGTTGTAGTATTCGGTTAAGCTGGTCATCTGATATGGGCATCTTGAATTTGTTTTCCTTTTTCCCCGTCGCCACTGTTATAACTCTGTTTCTTCTTACGGTTAATGACCCAGCTATTCCTATTGCTTAGTATTCTCGGACACCGATTCACTCGACAAGTCCCCAAATCAGAACACGGTTGAACAGGAAAACGATTATATTCCAAATAGCAAGTCAGAAGCCAGTAGGAAGCACAATAGGGGAAAACGTCGGTATATTTATAGTTTTTACATAAGAAGATTCCAGAATATTCTCCGACTATCGATTAGTGCTGATTGGATAAGAATCAGCCAATCAACGTGCACCAAAACCATCATGCATTGAGCATGCTTTAATCTAGTCTATGTCCCGCTAACACTAAAATATATATCCTTCGGTTAGCGAACTGTATCAACCTCAAAAGGTCAACTTCTGTCGTGCTTTCTACATTGTTAACTGTTTCTGAT